CAGCCAGGTTTATAAATACARTAAGAAAGAAGCAATGATGTTGCAAAAGGAAATTGGACATCGCTCTTATGTAAGTTTACATAACACGGATCTAACAAAACAACAGTTGTTCTCTCTCTTACAAGCTACTTAGGTAAATACGAATAGTCTCCTTCACGGTTACCTGCGCCATGTTGAAAGGTAGCCGTGCCTTTACATCGAAGCGAGACAACCGTTGAGCGTGCAATGATAGAAACCTGTGAATAATTGTCTGTAGGTGTGAAAGAAGGTTTCTATCATTGCACGCTCAACGGTTGTCTCACTTCGATGCAAAGGCACGGCTACCTTTCAAGATGGCGCAGATAACCGTGAAGGAGACTATTTGAGAATCGCATTTGTTGCACGTTGTTTGGTGACCAGACCGATGAATACCAGTCATCTCATTAAAGTACTCGGTACCAGTCGCAATGGTATTTGACAATATTTCAATATACCTGCTTTGCCATCCAAGTAAGTGACAATAATAATGCAAATCTCTTTTCATCTCTAGTTTTCAAGCAATTTAACATTAGAGCTTGAATAAGACTCTCGACATTTGTAGGAAAAACGTGCATTAGACTTCTCATGAATCAGTCAACTGCATTCTCTCTAGTCTTCCTGGCAATTATTGTTATTTATGTTTTGTAATGGCTGCTAAGAGTCCAAGTGTTACTCGTCCGTGAACTTCAAAAAGATAATCTACTCGATCATGGAATTGCATATTCAACTCACTATTTTCACTATCTGTTGTTGCTTCCATAAAGTTAATATGCTAATTTGAATAAGGCACTTTCCACTTTCTTTTTCAATTTTCGTTATCATCCATCCATCTTCATGCATCTACTAGAGCCGAAGGTGGAAAGCAAAGGATTTTACTTCCAAGGGTCGTCAAACTATGCTCCATTCTAAACATTGTTCCAGTGATTGCGTTTAGCATCAATAAAGTCGAACATCTCTGCTRTTAATAAAATCGGTTTCGGTTTAGTCGAGTAGGTATACTTATGAAACTTGCAGTTGCTATGGCAACGAAGATGTGTAAGAGAAGAAGAAGAGTACGAGAATTTTGATTCATTCATAAGTTAAACCGCCGACTAGTGCGACAAGGTTTGGCTAAAAGGAAAATCATAAATTATATATTTGAAAGACTCCGCATCTCACAAAGGGGATCTCCCTTCCCTCGGTCTTTTTTAAAAGGACTACTATCTTTATAGATTTGGGATACTGCAGGCATTGATGTCAAAGGTCATCGGCTAACCTATGCACCTTGTACGTGCTTGGAATGTGCRCTTAAATCTCCCGAAGAGGAACAACCACAGCATCATGGCGCTCAATTCCTACAACCTCTTTCTAAGGAGTGGCCGGGTTTTGAGGTAAGGGAATCAATACAAACTCAAGAATAAAAATTCCACGTGTATGCTTGAATATTTTGACGAAGTAAGCGCACTGTCAATAAAAAATCATGCATGAGTCATGCATAGGTTTTGTGAAGTGATTGTACATGGCGGTCAATCTCCAGGCGCGTAGCGTACTTTACGCATATACGTACGTGTGTACTACACTGGAAAAAAATCGCGCGCTTTAAAGGTTGTAAATTTGATGTAAATATGATATAAGTGTTCAAAATTCTGTAGATTTAATGGAAATCATTTACATCAAATATACAGAATTTTGGACACTTACATTATATTTTCATCAAATTCACAACCTTTAAAGCGCGCGATTCAGTTTTTTCAGTGTTAGTGGGCAAGGAAACTAAAAAAAAAAACACACACAAACACACAAATTACTTAAAAATTCACATAAAATTGATTAAAAATTGATTGAGTTATAATTTCATAATTGGCGGTCGTTAGACCCCTAGATCCAAAATATGTGTCGCGGTCCCTGACATGTGCGCTTTCTTTTTTTTTAACTGCATGAGATAAAATGGCACCGAGAAGCAAACTGAGACTTTATTTTGTGAAGGCTTCTGTACCCCAAACGATCATCAGTCAGGCTCTTTGCTAATTTTGTAGGTTCTTATACAAGAAATCGGAGATCAACACTTTATCGCCGTTGGTGTGGTTTGTGATGGTCATAACCTTCACAAATTTCCCGGATGGCGAGGCAATACCGCTGGGTATCATGTTGATGACGGAAGAATCTATGATCGGCAGGACCCAAAGATTGGAAGAGAGTGTAAAGGTTAGCTTCCTACTGCTACAACCCCCTCTTAATCTCTTATGTCGCTGGGATTATTCTGGATGCAAATGTTTTCCAATTTCTCAAGTTTTTTGCAGTGGCACGTGTCACGAAAAAAACTCTGGAAACCAGGTTGTTTTGGTTTGTCTCTGCGTAATGCCTTTTGCGCGAMGCAACTTAGCTGTCTAAAATGATCATAATATAAATGCAGGTCCAATGGCCCAGAGAGGTGATCTTATTGGCTGTAAGATCTTGTTTGACGAACAGTCAAAGGAAGGTGTTCTTCCTGTGTCAATCACACTCAATGGAAGGATAATTGGACAAGCCAAGGTCAAGGGAAAAAGCACATTTGACGGCCAATGGAAAGACAATGATTTTTATGCCTTCATTGGCATTGGATGGGAAGGAGTTACAATACTTTTCAAGGCAAGTGCCATGCTACTATGAAGAAATTCGGAGCCGTATTCTCAGTGTTAAACACACTTCAAACTCTAATAACTTAAACCTACTCATTCTCTCGGTGTAACTACTTTATCCACCAGCCTCTTGCCATTCAAGCAGCCACTATATAGTCGACGTAATTATTTGAATGCATGAGGGACAAAACAAAGTTATTTGGATATGTTAAAGATGGAATTTTTTTTCAATACTTTTTTCATATTTTTGACATTTTGTATTTTCGTTTGGTGATTGTTTTTTCCTTCAACTTTTAGCTTTTGCCTCGTGAACAAGATCATTTCYTCGAKCMCAAGGGAAGCGATTCAGAGGCGGATTTTGCAGCTCCTATYGGAGAAAAAACAAATGATGTCTTTCCAAGTATAAGTGCAGATWTAAGTGATCTTCGTGCAGAGATATCAGGTCTTGCAAAAGAGCTTCAAAGACGAATGGATGAGTTGTCATTTCATGTTATGGATATGAATGACAAATTACTGGATTTGGATAGTAAAATGAGTGAAGAGGCGTATGCGGTCGGTGGTTCAAGGGGTTCCGGAGCTTTGCCTCCCTTGGCAGAAGAAATTTTTGAAACCTGAGACTTTCCGGATAATCAACAGAATGACACATTTTCGGATAGTCCAACAATTTGATCGGCGTAAATCAGAAAAAAAAAATAAAAAGAAAAAGCGTATGGAGATTATTCTTAAAAGTTCGTTAAAGTTAGCCTAAATCTTTATAATAATAGATATTTGTCATACATTTTGATAGATGCCGTTCAGAATAATTGTCTGTAGTTGTGAAAGAAGTAGTCTATCATTACACGGTCAACGGTCGTACGTCTCGCTTAAATGAAAAGACACAGCTATTTTCCAAGATCGTACAAGGAACGGCGAACTATTGCAAAGCAATAAGAGAATGTAATTCTTTTGTCTAGTATCGATAAAAATAATTCATAAACAAAAACGTTTAAATATAACAGAGGTAAATATATAAAGTACAATATAAAGTACAAACTCGGAGTTACAGCAAAATCTTGCCTCTTTGATATCATATATATAAAGTACAATATATATAATACAAAGTAAAATAATAAACAATGGTAAAAAAAAGATGTAGGGTTATCTTTGATATTCTTTTTATTCACGTCCGTCATGGAAAAACAATTTTTCCAGTAAACGTAGTTTTAWACAAAGTTCAAGTGTCCATATGAACGAGCGAGTRACATCTCTGAAAATTCTTTCACCGAAGCGAATTYTTTTCGCCAAGATCACAAGCTAATATCAGTTTTTGAAGTTATGTATGGCGAGGTCATGTTTGTATCCACGGAACCAACATTTTAGAGCTCGATATTTATTGACGGCATATTGTTGACGAGGGTACTTATTTGATTCCTGYTCTTTTTTCTCTTCAGAGGAGCATGGTCAACCAGCATTCAATGCGGTCGTGTTTTAGATTTTTCATATATGGAAAGTGAAGTGACTTCGAATATCCATTCGCAATTCTTTTCCATCCATTGGTTTAAAGGTCGAATTTTACAATATCCCCAATAAAGAGTACGTTACGTTTTTGCTTATATTACGATGTAGTTCCATTTTCAAACATGAGAAAAAGCTCGAAAGGGATGCTGGTGGASCATAGATAATTCTGTATGACCTGACATTTTATGAAATCCCCTTTTATTTTAAGACCGATTTACACGGTACGATTGTCGCGTGTGATTTGTAGCATTCGACTAAAACCGCGTGTGTAGATGCCCCTACGACTTTAATTGCCTACAATTGAAAAATGGCAGCTGCGGTATTAGTTTGTAAGTCAGCGGTATTATGCCTGAGGGCGCATATGACTACAATTAGTAGTTTGCCCGCGCCATAACCTAGCTGAAGGGCTTTGTAAAACCGTGTGTTGGTCATCTTTGGCTTGAAAAATATATTGTTATCGGCATTAGATCAAAAGGTAAGACATTTATCTAGTTATTTTATGTATATTTTAGATTCGTGACTTTAATAAAGTGCCTGATTATGCAGTGTATTGGGTCGAGAGAGTTTATACTACAAGCTCTGCATCGAAATGACCTTAAAACAATAATAACGACAACCTGACCTTAGTAASAGTAAATGAAATTAAGAATAGGGAAATGCTTCCATATTGTTGGCTTTAKTGATGTTTGCATTGGTTTTTATGCATGGATAGATCAATAAGTCATTTTTACATACTGTCTTAGAAGAGACACATTGACCTACGATAATTGCACGACAATTGCTTAAAAATCTTTCAAACAAGTTCTTGACAGCGTTAACAACAAACTCTTTTCTAACACTTTCTTAGCCGTTTTACGTCAAGGAGAGAGCGTTTGTCGGAAAATATGAGCTTGTACGTACGTGTACGCTTGCTACTTTACGAGCTATTTACACTTCCACGGTCAGTTACGTTCAGCATGTATATTCATAAAATGAGATTAGTGTACATATCAGTTGTAGCGGTTAACATGTATTTTTACTGGCCGCGCCAACTGGAATCGGTCTAGGAATAAGACTAGGMACTTGTCACAATTYAACTGAAAYGGTTTATTCGAAGACTTGATCGATGTTGAGACGAACGTAAACTAGAATTACAATTGTGGCAAAAACTCTAATCAGATAAAAATATGTAACTAGCATGGCATAAAAATAGCAATCAATACTTTATAAATTCAATGATACAATAATGCAATAACACATAAAACAATACTAGATCATGCAATATGTTAAATTGTAGTGATGAAAACTAGTTCTAGGACTGATTGAGAGCTAAACGCTCTATTAACAAAACTTAAGTGGGCGTTAACTACATAAAAGACGACCTCGTAGGTCTTTTCATAATCTTGAAATAATCAAAGGTCACAATGATTTAAARGATCTAATAGCCCACACTTAGTACGATGATCCTTGATCTTAATAGTGAAATAAAAGGTTACTTACATATCTGTCCCGCTTGTACCAATATCACTGCATATCCTTTACATCAGTTATCAGTTATCGGTAATCTAATCAATTCACCAACGCCGTTTAATCACCTGTTTGGAAGTATACTCAGCAGAATTTGGCTGATCAGTTTTCAAGTGATCTAATCATCAATCATTTTCATTTTTTTAAGTGTTTCAATGATGGTTTTCATTTTAGTTTTAAAAACAGGAAATCGCTTCAGCTTACTTTATACGAGGTCACGAAATCAAACATAATAGGTTTACTAATTAGTTATTATAATGCTGTATGGTGGGAAGTATAAAACACTTACTTTCAGTAATAATTTAATAATAATTTTTCATTTATATTGCACAGGTTCGAGTGCGCAATACAATATTTCAAAATGGAGTGCTTACACTAGAGTGGTTTTCATTAACCCGTAAAACACACTTTAGCGTAATTATCGCTATTACACTTTGGCTCTTTTGTTTTTTGTTGCCTCTACGCGACTATTACGATCTATTACACTCGAAGTATTGCACTTTGTTTCACGGGTTTATGAAAACCACTCTATATGTCCATGAAATATATCTAAATAGTTACTATCTTAATAGTTCTTATTTAGTGACTATTTAACAATTAGACCTCGAGGTCGAGTGGACTACAAGCTGATAGCCCATGAAGCCGAGTCCGCGAGGCCGAATGGGCTATTAGCTCGTAGTCCACGAGTCCGAGAGGTCTAATTGTTTTTTAGACCATTAGTAGAGTAGCCAATCACAGCACAGTATGAGTGATAGACCATTAGTATGTTTATACTAATAGTTGCTATTACTCAACTGGAAGAGTTGTAATGATATATTGTTTCCTTTCTATTCGATTCCCAAGTGTACAGAATCTATTGTTACTAAGACACTGTTCCAGTTGAATGGTAGAGTCATTTTCATCCGTGTGTGAAACAATTACTACTACTATTACTACAATAAAGACAGCAACGGGTGTAAAGTCTACTAGCTTCGCGTATTAGAGTTGGAACTATTTCACAGTCCCATGAAAATCACTCTAGTCACTCATAGTCACAAAATAAAAACTTTTTCTTTGTAACTATTTATTAGATTTTGTTTTTGAGAGCGTTAACAATAAACTCTTCTAGCACTTGCTTAGAAGTTTTACGACAAGGGCAGAGCGTTTTTCGGAAAATGTGAACGTGTACGTACGTGTACGCTTGCGACTTTACGAGCTATTTACGCTTCTACGCGTCTACGTTTAGCATCCTTCGCAGGCTACTCCATCGGAAACGGACTTTTTCTTTTCTTCGTCTTCCTGTGTTCATAATCTTGACCGAGAAGTACTGTTTTCCTTCCTTCGTAACCCCCTCCCCCTCCTGCACTTTTTTTGACTTAACACAGGAACCCCATGGAGAAGAGTTGCCTGCGCAGGAGGCTAGGTTACGTTCAGCATGTATATTCATAAACAGAGATTAGTGTACAAATCAGTTATCGGTAATCTAATCAATTCACCAACACAGTTTAATCACCTGTTTGGAAGTATAATCAACATAATCTTGCTGATCAGTATTCAAGTGATCTAACCATAAATTATTTTCATTTTTTTAAGTGTTTCAGTGATGGTTTTCATTTTAGTTTTAAAAACAGGAAATCGCTTCAGCTTACTTTATACGGGATCATGAAAATTAAACATAATAGGTTTACTAATTAGTTATTATAATGCTGTATGGTGGGAAGTATAAAGCTAACTCTTCTTTAGCATCCCTTGAGAACTGTTTGTTAAAACAACAGCAACAACAACAACAACAACAACAACAACAACAAAGACGATCACTCTTGGGCTTCATGTGTTAAAATGTAAAAGCTGATTATACTACTGTATATTTTCTGATCTTTTGTTTACACAGCATCTTTACTATTGCTTAAAAAGAATGGATGGTCTCTTCGAGTGTGTGTCTGAGTCAATCAAAAGTACTTCAAAATCAATGAAAATGTATATATAGCCTCCCACCTGCAAAGCGAAGTTTTTGAGTGATAAGTGAAAGAAGAATGACTTGCTAATTGTCCAATTTCATATTGTTTTTAAAGTGAGTCTGTCACGCGCCTACGCATGCGCACGATCAGACAATTTTACGGGACGTAAAGACGGCTAAAGACGAGAGTAGATTGATAGTTGAATCAGTTGCAATCTTGAATCTACGGCGGGAATCTATTTCACCTTTTTGCATTTTCGAATCAATTAAGTATTTTTTATGCTGTGAAATCTTTTTGTGTGTGTGTAATCTTTTTTTGTGTGCAATTATTATCTTTTTAAAGTATATTCAGCGGTATATTCTCATTGTAAATCTAAAACTTAGCGAAAATCATTCTTTTCTTTGAAATGAAGGCCTTGATGGTGTCAGCACAGTGTTCATGCCCTCTCACACTCAGATCAGCCAATCAGCGCGCGAGAGTGAATTTACACGAGTGTGATAAAAAAACATATTTGTAATTTGATCCATTATAATTTAGATATTATTGGTATTATTAATGACGGTTCGTTCGTTCATTCACTTGATATTATTATTATTATTGCAGAGACGAACTTTCTTCACAGACAACAATGAGCTCGGTAAAGTAMARAAGTCCATTACTTATCCTGGGCCCAGGCCCTAGGTCGGGGCACGTGRTATAAAAAGCAGCGCGTATAGTTTTTTTTTTAAATATGCGTCATAAGTTTGCCTTCGGGGTCTACCAATCGCCCTCCGATCTCTATACGAATTGTATTGTATTGTATTGTTGATTTCGCTGCTACGGTGCAAACTATTACCGACACTTTGCAACTATCACCAACACTTTGTAACTATCACCGACACTTTGTAACTATCACCGACACTTTGCATATATCACCGACACTTTGCAACTATCACCGACACTTTGCAACTATCACCGACATTTTGTAACTATCACCGACACTTTGCAACTATCACCGACACTTTGTAACTATCACCGACATTTTGTAACTATCACCGACGCTTTGCAACTATCACCGACACTTTGCAACTATCACCGACATTTTGTAACTATCACCGACACTTTGCAACTATCACCGACACTTTGTAACTATCACCGACATTTTGTAACTATCACCGACGCTTTGCAACTATCACCGACACTTTGCAAACTGTGTCTAATTTTGATACTGCGGTATGATTGGTTATGAGGTGGTTAGGGTTTTTTTCCAAGGCAGACATTATGACTATCTGGGTTTAAAGAATCACTGCCAACCGCCGTATCTTGCGAACTGAAGCGCTATTTTAGGTGAACACAAAAATGGCGGTCGAATTCGTAGGATTTCTTAAAGTGAGCGCGAATCATGATCCATTCTTTCAGTTTGGACATAAATACCTTTAACTAAGTACCTCACAGGTACTATCAATCTATAATCTATTGCATCTTTGACCTTTTCTCCACATAACATTTCCAAGCAGCATCACGAAAAGTAGGCAAGGCTTTGCATCAATTAAGGTGGCTTCCCATAGCTTTTTTCCGTCAATATCTCTTAAATTCGCTTTTAGAAAATCTTGCCATGCACCGATTTAATTGGTGTTTGGCATAATATTTAGCTCCATCTACGTTACTTAGGCAACGGAAATCGCATTTTGTCGAAATTCGTACTACCTCAACCACCTTTGTTGGATGGGGTTGTGCAGCACGGCCATCAAAACACTTACTCGCTCCCAGACTTGGAGCATCCTTGGAGCTACGCAAGCTCGTTTGCTAGCCAGGAGTCACGTTTGCATAGCCGTGCGTGATGTCTTTGCTTAAATAAAGATTTTTCTAAATCTGTTTATATCTACAGAGCTAAATCTCGGTTCGTTTCGCCTTGAATACAGATTCCCAATTCGTTTCGTTTCGTCGACCAATTTTAGCCAGCACATGCAATTTTTAAGACATTTAGTGGCACACGTCAACCCTGATATTAGGGTCAAAAGCTGCTAAATATTGCATGAAAAGTAATTAACAAGGAGTTACTTTTACAGATTATATTCCTATAGATGAACTGCACGCCTTTGGTAGATTCTTTAAATCTAAACAGACGCTCTTAGACTAGTTATTTCTTTGAAAATTCAGAATATTGTATGGATGGGCGTATAGGCGAACGAGAAGGCCGTTCTAAGTGAAATCAATTCAATCTGAAAAACACTGAATAAGCCAGAACTTTTCAAAACCTCCATCCTTCTGTTTGTCCCGTTCATTTTTTATGTATTCAAGGTCAATAATAGATGGTACTATGTACTTTACAGCCACATCCACCTGAGTCACCAGAGCCAGTTATTGAGGAAAACGTATGTGATCAAGTAAGTTTGGGCGGCATTCATTGCTGATCGCTCGGACTATCTCCTAATATAAAAATTAGGTAACACCTAATAGCGGAGCTCCAATAGCAATATAGAAGCTGRAAATGATTATCTAGTACTGCTATTTCAAAGGTAGATGCTCTGTTCTAGGGAATGTGAGCTACAACAGTTTTGTTGACATGCGAACAAATATTATAAAGAGTAAGCTTTTGTTTATGAGAATTTAGTTCGTACTATTATATTGACTTCGGTAGATTTTGTTCCGTTGGATGAAGTTTAGAATTATAATTAAAAGTAAACTGAAAACTTCTCGGCAAAAAGTAGTCTACATAAGCTTACAATAATCAACATTGTTTCAATAATCGATGTTTGAACCCGGACTACTCGAACTTCACATATCACAGAAAACTGTATGCAAAAATATATTTTTTACCTTCATTATCGAACGTCCGATAAATTATCGTTCAAAGGTCATCTTCAACAGAGCCATACTTGTTTCAAGCATAGGTTTCATCAATTTATTAAGTCATTCAAGACTGTAGATTCTTTGTTTTAATCTCTCTCAATCTAACTGCTAGCATGGTTTTGGTTTCGAAATGTCCACACTTTTAGTCGACAAAAGAACTTCGCATAGATCCCTGCTTTTTCCCATATTGGTCCATATTATTGAAGTATTTCCAATAAAGTATCATCTCTTTTTGTTGTCGAAATATCAAAGTAATCCTTCTTTCTAATATCACTTTTAAGATGGGCCTAAATTGCTTTTCATCTTCGCAAATCGATTTCCCGGATGTGCGGACGTGTCGAAGTTATGACAAAATTGGCGGGAATATTTCTGTGCTGTTATTTCGCTCTTCAGTGGATTTTTTCCTTGTGATTAAGTGTTCTAATATTATCAATATGTAATATAAATGTTTAAGGAAAAAATTTCGATTTTTCAACAAATACTTGGCGCTTTATTTCCTTTTCGAGCGGAGTATGGGTTTCCTGTGGTGGTACACGGAATCCAGGACAGAAGGACGGACGGACGGACGGAAACGTGCGTACGCGCGGGAACYCTGTGTCGGTCCATGGAAAATCGACTCGATGGTATACCATTTTTTCTTAGCTATGGTGCTCCGCTCGCGCGGGCCTTCGGCCCGCGCGGGAGCCCCGCTATAAAACTAATGATTAAGTATAAAAACTTCCTGAGATAGAGACGCAAACATTGAGAAACGATTTCCTTCTTCAACATGCTACAATCTAAACAAGTTGGCTTACGCATATCAAATTTCTGAAGATCACTTCTCACTATACCATGTTTCTTTCTCCAAAACAAAAAATTAAAATTCCATGATAACAAAAATATTTCTTGTTTAAGTATTTTTTTCTAATCTTGTGTATTCTTCTATTTCAATTAAGCTACCATCACCTGCTCCATTCGACGAGCGAAATATTGATGAAGATGTAAGTATACTTATTAATTGATAAATTCCAGACAGTTTTGACAGTTTATTTACACAATCTGTACGTTTATTTAGTTGTAAAATGTTAAAAAGTTTTTATTGAACCCACTAGAACAGCGAATAATAACAGGGACATATAAATACATGTAAATAAAAGGGACATACAACTCAAAACTGTGCGCAATTTCTTAAATAGCGTTATTACATTGTTATTATGAAAATTCACAATGTGAATTATACTTTCTACTTTTTTTTCTGTCGTAACTTTATATAGGTGGATATAATATTCCCGGAAGTACCATCGGTTGAGTCCGCTCCCGGAACGGTAAGTAATTTTAATTTTAATTCAAGACTTTCCATAATCAGGTTCAGTGACCACGAACAAAGCATTGAACCGAGGCGTCAAGGAACACTGATCATGGATCATTTCTTTTATGTTCACTGTATCTTGACGCCTCGATTAAATGCTTTGTTCGTGGTCACTGAACCTGATTATGGAAAGTCGTGATATGCATGTGACGTAAAACCAGCCTCATCTGGAGAACAAAACATGAAATATTTGTTTACAAATAGGGTTTTATGCTTTTACACTCAATTGGGATTCCTGTGTCGCATATTACTATCAGGGGTTATACCAGAAAACAATATTTTAGCTGCATTTCTTTGACTTCGTCAGAGTATTTAACTTGTCGTGGCCGTCCTGTTTGTCCGCCATATTGACGCGAGTTACCTAGTTCCCAGTTCCAAAAATGTATATTTTTCTTTTGTGGGAACTAGAATCCATTGTTTTGTCCTCCATTTGGAGGTGCATTCCCATGAAGTGCAAGTGGTCTATACTAACAATACTTCAATCCTTTTTTTGTGTTCAGATGATGGACGAATTCCAGATGGTTAGTATCAGATAATGTATTCAATTCGCACAAGGAGTATAGTTTTAATTTTAGGCAATCAATACTTCCATATCGAATTCTGGTTTGCTCTGCGTTAGGCTCAAAACCAAGCAACTTATTCTTTTGTTTCATTGATAGATGCGCGCGCCTGAGAAATCGCATGGAAATAATTGTGAAGAAAGACAAAATTGATTTGAAATTTCACACTTTTATGCTCACAAGTAAGAATAGTTTGTACACAAGTGAGGCTAAAACTGAGCATTGAGAGAATTCGAAACTGGAGTGTTAAGCTAAGATATGATGATATACTGTCAAGAGGGTGTCAATGGGGGTACCCAAAAGTCAGTTACTACTAATTTGTTGTTCAAAAGTCAATTAACTACTATATTTTTGACAAGTCAGTTAGCTACTAATGTTAGATAGGCATTAACTGGATTATCTGGTCAACAACAATTTCAATGGTTGTGAGGATAGCCCTCGTGAAACGTGACATGTGCATGGGTGCTTGACTATTCAAACAGTCACCAGTTACCAAACGTTTTTTGGGTCTTATAACTTATAAGACCCAAAAAACTGTTGGACAGTAGATTTTTTAAAAGGCACTTAACGTGGACTTTTTGGCTAATACGCATATGGCCGGTACCGCATATGGATTGGGGGTAACCACCTCCGAAGACGGGAGTATTAAAGGGGGTTCGGGGGTCCTCCCCCGGGAAATTTTGAAATAATAACTATTGGAAATGCGATTTTCAGCGTTTTGAGGGGCATTGAGAGCAAATAAAATGCATCAAATCCCGAAAATTGTAATATTTCCTTCCCACTAATACGCACGTGCGTATATGCGTAAAGGACTCTATACGCGCCTGAATTCAATGTTAGTAAAAAAGTCAGTTAAACATACGATTTGAATTAGTCAGTTAATTACTATTTTTGGGCAAAAAGTCAGTTAACTACTAATTTTTAAGCTAAAAGTCAGTTAACTATTAACTCCATTGACACCTCTGTCAAGTGTTTCGATCATGCATTTAAAGCGAATTTCGTTTAATTGCAAGACAGTTTTAGTCTAAAAATTGCGAAAATATTTTTTTTTTCAACTGAGCGTGCACGAGAGAGATGATGGTGTTGTGTCAGCCGCATTGTAAATGTTATCTTACTGACACACGGTAATTGAAGTCATGTGTTTTCTGGTATATTCCGCAAAAGAAATGCTAAATAATATTATAAAAGGTCGCAAGACGCTGACTATCTCTTGTACCACTCCCATCACTTCCAGCTGATGAATCATAGAATCAGCCAATCAGCGCGCAAGTATTCAAACAAGTGTGGTAAAAATATATTTCATTTTACCGGCTGGGAGGTCCGTATAGGAAAACACTGCCCAAGATCTTGAGAGTACGGACCAGCGCACATTAAAGACCGAGGGCACTGTTTTCCTATACGGATCGACCTATAGCCGGTAAATAACATTTTTTTTTTCTGCAACTTTGCTCGCAACCTAGCGGCAGGATACCGTGGACCGCGCAGATCGTGAAAAACCGGACAGCGCGCTATGTCTAATTGTAGGGATACCGTGGACCGCGCAGATCGTGAAAAACCGGACAGCGCGCTATGTCTAATTGTAGGGATACCGTGGACCGCGCAGATCGTGAAAAACCGGACAGCGCGCTATGTCTAATTGTAG